ACTGTTTTGACTTTGTGAATTTCTGTGCACTAGGAAAACAATTGTCGATGAATTTTTTTAAGAAATGCAAAAGAAATAAATTAATTATGTATAAATTTCAAAATTACTAAATTATTCACCGGACAAAATCACAGTAAAATTTCTAGTGAATAAATGGGATTAATGTATAATACTCGTGTTCCCAGAAAATTACTATTTATTTTTGGCTTTCCTCCATAAAGTGCTCATTTTCCCCTTTTCCATGTCATTTTTTTAGTGGTTGAATCTTATATTTGTGAACTATTTGCAGATGAAAAAAAAATTCCAGACTATACTAATTTTATTATACTTACTCTGTTATTCTTATTATTGTATTAATTGTTATGCTATTTCTCTCATTTTGTTAGGTCTACATTAATACAATTTTAATTCTTATTATGTCTCGTGTCCCAGAAAATACATATTTTCCTATTGACGTGGATATGTCCAACAGGTAATCAAATGGATGCTAAAAAATTTAGAATGAATAAGTTGCTTTGTATAACGGTTCTAAAGGTTCCTTCAGACTTTATAAATTAGGTGTCTTGAGTTTGCAAAGACAATTTCTTGCATATCTTTGTAGTGGAAACGGAGTTTAAACTTGCTATAGGTTAGTTTCCTGTTTTCCATTGTATCCTAAAGGGTAATTTGCCATTCAACCTAATTTTATTCTGATTTTATCCAACTAATAAATTAGCTAATGAAAAAATGGGAAAATGGATAATTTATGGAGGAAAGCAATAAATAGCTGGCGTTTTATTGGGAAACGGGTTTATTTTTATTTTATCTGATAAATAAATTTGTTTATGAAAATATGGGTACTCTGTTCTTATAATGGAGGAAAGCCATAAAGAACTAGTGTTTTATTGGAAAATGAGTTTATTTTTATTTTATCCGATAAATAAATTTGTTTATGGGAAAATGGGTCTTAAAGAGCTCGTATTTGATGGACAAATGATACTTTAGAATACCAATGGATAACAGTTAAAACACAATCATAGATTTGACATTTTAAATAATGAAGATTGGTTCTGTTTGGATTAAATAATGAAGATCATAGTTAAACACAATCACATGTTTTAAATTACTTATATTAAAACTTCATCGTCTTATTATATTCATGGGTTTAAAATTATAGAAATTATATAGATAAGTGATATTCCATACATAAGTAGGAACATGTGTTGTTATTATTATCCAAACTTTTAAACTTTTCAAAAATTATTCAAATGTATAATACGACAAAATTTTATTACTTTATAAGGTTTTGTCAATGGTCGAAATATTTTAAAATAAATTGACCCAAAATTTTTTAAAATTATACATACAATCAAGTATGTATACAAGTATATTAAGAGTACTTACTAAGTAAGGTACTCAGTTTTAATCATTAATAAAACATTTTAGTGTTATTTCAAATAACAATAAAATATGGGCTTGGTATAAGTTTTTTAAGCAGAATAGAATATTTGTGCCATAAATTAGCATGTTTTTGTCATTAATCAAATTTACTATGTTATAAGTAAAAATCACTATTTATGTATAAAAACATACTATTACTTGAAATAAATTTACTCCCTCAAAAGTATATTTGGGATATAAAATTGTAATTTATCTCTTTAAAAAGTATGTTTCATATTAATTTCAATTTACCTTTTGGACTCCCATAAGTTACTAATTTATTACGTTAACTTACTATTTTAGATGAGAAACTTACTTCCTTATTTTTACCCATAATCCTATTCAAGTGGATAAGTCCAACAGGTAATCAAATGATCGCTAAAATTATTATAACCTATTATATCATGTCTAAAACTGTTTTTTTATCATAACGATAGTTACTATACCATTTTCTCGGATGCTTAAGCTGAACACTTGAGTACTAAATTTATATATGTATATAAATATAATGAAGGCTTGAATCCTTTTGTGTTTCGAATTGCCGCGGAACTACTACGTTTACCTCCACTTTTTCTTCTTCCAAATTATTATCCCCTGCATGTGTGAGATTTATATTTATTATTTGTTAAAATTTCGATACTTTCTTCACGCACATTTTTCGTTGAATACCAAAATGGGAGAAGTGAAGACAAAACTTAATTAAATTCAAATGAAGAATTGCTGTGGTGTAGAATTTTTCTCAGGCGTGGCGAGCACTCCTTGCCAAGCGCGTGGTCTGTGCTTCTTAGTCCAAATGGTTTTGGACCACAAACAATTCAACCATGGCCAGACCATGATGTGTCGATTTCTCGTCTGGACACGCATTGCAGGCCAATGGCAGGAACGGTCAATGAGTTCCTACCACAAAGGTATCCATCAATTCATCTACAAAATCACTTATGACCAATGTTTTAAAAACCGGACCGTTAATCGAACCGGTGAAGTGAAAGGGTCGAGATTCAACCGGTCGGACCGGTTCAATCTCGGTTCAATGAATTTTTTAAAAAATAATTTATATAAATATATATGTGCACAAAATAAGACATGTAATGGATAATTTAATACTTTATATGATGAAAAGTTTACTATTTTTGAATAACTTGGATTTTTAAAAATAAATTTTTTAAATTATAAGTTAAAACAAATAAATTTCATCTCAATTTCAATTATATCTACCAAAAAAATCTTAAATATAATCCAAAAATATCACAATATTTGAAATTATACAAAATTCACGTCTATGAGAATTTAGACATTGTGAACTTAAATTTTAATTTACATTTTGGAATTTAAATTTACAATTTAAAAAAGGAAATTTGGAGTTCGAAGAAAATCAAGAGAATTGAAAATAGAAATGCAAATTTGATAAGAAACAAAAAATTAGATAAAAGTGAGTGGTTGTGGTATTAAATAAATTGGGTTAAAGAAAAATAATTCTTTTTTAACTTTTTTAAATTTAATGGACAAAAACAAAATTAAAATATGGAAGAAAACATCAATAAATTAAAACTAAAGAGGTTTGATTAAAAAATGAGTGGCAAAAGAAAAGATGATAGAGAGAGAGTGTGTGTGTGTTGAAGATTAAAAAGAAAGAGTCATGAAAGGATGATATTTTGTGAAAAAAATGGAACAAAAGAAATATGAGTGTTTGTTTTATATAAATAAGTTATCAAAAAAAACTAATAAGATGTGATAGTGCAACGGTTACTACATTGGTCTTCTATTACAAAGGTCTTAAGTTCGAATCTTGATAACTACATTTTGCCAAAAAAAAAAAAAAAAAGGAAAACTCAAAAACCGGAAATAACCGGTTCAAATCCGGTTCAGCGGTTTAGCGGTCCGACCGGTTTTTGACTGGTTTCTTGACAAAGTCAAACCTGGCATTGAACCGGACCGGAGCCATGGCCGGTTCGCGGTTCAACCGGTCGAACCGGCCGGTCCGGTCCGGTTTTCAAAACACTGCTTATGACCAGTGGGACATCATGCACCAAAATATCTGCAACTTTTGTACAAGACCAGATGGGGCACCAATCAACGTAAAATTAATAGAAAAGGAGAATTTTTCGTGTGCATCGCGTCTTGTAGCATCACATATGTTATCAACAAATGCCAGGGGCTTTACAGCTGCTAATAACCTTGTACCTTAACTCTATGCTCATTTTTTTGGTTAATTTGCTTAAAAGCCAAAATATGCAAGGGAAAAAGAAATCACACAAAGTGGGGAAAACCTTTTTCTTTTTTTTTTTATTCAAGAATTAGCCAGTTGCATGAAATTTGATGAGTCACTTGGGACAAAAATTGAATTCCTTTCCCAGAAAAAGAGAACGAAAAATTATTCATTTTAGGAGGAAAAGCATAAGTAGCAGCAGGTATGTGGGGTTTTGCGGTTGGAAGAGATGTTGGAGAGTGAGTGGCGGAGGAGGAAACCCAACATAATGGAATGGACTTGGAAGACAAGAGATGCTATCATCTCCATTTTCTTACGCTTTGCTTCATTAAAGTACCTCAAAAAGATCCACGTTGAATCTTGTTTATTTTTAGAAAAACGCGTAGATTCAATTTCAAGGGAGAAGACTAAAAAAGGATTATAAAAAAGAGGAATAAGTCAAAAAAGAGGGAGGCTAAGACACAGGTATAGACTATAGAGGAATGCATGAGTACGGGGAATTAAAGGAGGCCAAAGAAAAACCGAAAAATGATTAGGGGATCGTGAGATGAAAGCAAGACTGTGGAGAGAGAAGTATGGAATTGCCTTTCAAGGGATTTGATTGTAATTTAGCCAAATTATAGGGTAGATTTCATAATTTGGCCAAATTTCAGGGGAGGCAATATAATTAACCCTTTTGATCGGCAAGCAGGAAGCACACATAATTTTGGATTAACTCCACTTTGCACTAAACTTGTATCACTTTTTCATTTTGCATTTTAAACTTCAATTTTGAACACTTTGTACCCTAAATTTTTTATTTTGGAGATTTTGCACCTTAAATTCTCAAGTTTGTCCCATTTAAATGTACTGTTTTGTTTATACCGTGATCCCTTAACCTTTATTAACCATTTTTAGCACATTGTCATTAATTTATATGGTCTTAATTACTAATATTATTAGCAAAATTAACGAGATAAAAGATTGTGTAAATTAATAACAATGTACTATTTTATTTTTACTATGATACCTTGGCGCCTTTTGATCTCTTTTGGCACATTGCCATTGATTTATTAGGTCTGTTAATTTTCCTAAAGTTGTTATTGATGAATTTAAATAGTACAAACTTGAAAATTTAGCATGCAAAATGTTCAAAATTAAAATTTAGAATGTAAAGTAAAAAGTAATACAAGTTTAAGGGTGTTAAGTGGAGTTAATCCTGTAATTTTTGTTTTTTTGCCTAAAATCAAAAGCTAGTATAGGGACAGTAAAGTTTAACAAAAAATTACGGGACCTCTGGGAATAAATAAGAAAGTACTTAAGGGATGGAATAGGCAATTCTCAAGTGAAAAAGAATATAAAAGAAGAGGAAAGCAAGAAAGAATATAAAAGAAGAGGAAAGCAAGAAGCCGGACCCAAGTCAGGCCAGGAAGAAGTACGCTGAATGACAAATTATTGGCACGCGACATACGCTAAAGCCTACAAAACGGTGGTTGGAACTCAGAAGTAACGGACTGTTGGCTTCCTCATCATTGACTCTCTGATTGCTCTCTTGCCTGCAGCTCGGCAAACAATCTCTCTGCTTCAAAGGATTATTGAACTTACCCTGTAAGTATACTACCTTTTCTTGATGATCTAAGATTATTGAAGATTCTTTTTCCCGTTGTCTGGTGACTATAAGAATCGTTTGCTTTTGCGTTTTAAAAAGTAGAAAGGAAAAACGTATGCTCAACTTGCCTCTTCTGAAATTGATCCTGACATCCGATAACTTGGATCTGCTTTGTTTCATTTGTATTCCTTCTAAATACGGCGTGTATATCTACATGTATGTGATACACAGGGAGAAGAATCTCACCACTGGATCTTGCTGCAAGATCTTGAAGTACCATCTAATCACAGTTATTTTGATTCCACTTTATGAACCTGAAAACCTTCAAATACAGTTTCATTTGGAATGCTTTAGACCTTTCTATTTTCACAGTTTGGACAATTAATTTCTAAATTTTTTATTTGTTAAAAAATTGAATTTTGAGGTCCAAATCTGGGCTACGCTAGCCACTAATCAGCTTCAATAGTAACTCCCCCTGATTTTAGAGGCCTTGGATCTCTCCTTTGTGTATCTTGGGGTATTTTAGAAAAGAATTAGCTGAGCATTTGGCAGAGTTATAGATAAAACAGTAGCGGATAATCAACTATACATAAAAAAAGTAAATAAAATTATTAATTACTTTGTTTTTTGGGATATACTTTTAATTATTACGTAATTTAAAGTTCTAGTATACTAATATCTTTTTACATATTCAAATTTCTATTAATATACACTTTTTGATTATGATAGGCATATATCAATTAATTATGCCATATAACTTATATGAAACTTTCTAATAGTGTAAATAAATAAATAAAAAATAATGAAATTATAAGTAAAAGATGATTACAACATTGTAATAAGCATACAAATTAGTAATACTAATAGGAAAGTGAAACAAAACAATGACATGAAGAAGTGCAAAAAAGGAAATAAGTAAAAAAATAAATAAATAAAAGAAATTAGTGGAAAGGAAAAACAAGGGACTGAATAAACAAAAATAAAATAGTAAATGTACTTTTGTCTTAAAATATCAAATAGGGGCACAAAGTGCATATTTTAATAAGTTCAAAGGGGCAAAACATAACTAAGGGTTAAATTCAAGGAGGTTTAGTGCATTTAACCCAAAAGTATATTTTAGTTTTTGGTTATTCTTATCGAAATTAGATAAAAGTCAAGCATGAGTTCAAGCTTGATTATACTCAAATTCAAACATGAATCTCAGCTCGAACACTACTTTATAAGTTCCTCAATTTTTCAAGTTCAGGTTTGAGCTTTGATAAATTCAAGTTGAACTTCAATCTGATAAATTCAAGTTGAACTTGATAAGATTGAGCAAAAAGCTGAGTTAGTTCGTTTTCGACTTGTTTGTAATCCTAGCCAGATATCTGGTCATTACCAAAATTATTGTGTATTTATTAATAGTTCCAAAAATCAGGCCAACATGTTGTAGTCTTACCAACCAGAATTCGAGGGCAATTTCAACCTGCAACTTCAAAATTGTCTACTCCGAACCTGCAACTTCCGGTAGAAATTGAAGTGTTCCACTAAAGGCATTTAAGTAATTAAAAATAAAGGAGGAAATATGCTATAAAAATGAACGATAACGTACTGGAAAAAACTATATGCAATAAGTTATTTTTACCAAAAATTTGCCATTTCAAGGAATTAAAATTACTCTTTAAAGGAGAAACTTTAAAGTCTCCATTTGAAGTCACAACTTTCGAAGTAATTTCTTCAGATACTGAAATTTATATTTCAAGAAGGCTTTAAAACGTTGGACTAGTTTGGAATTTTGAATTGATGTTGGATGACGTATCAGTGGGTCGTATGACAATGGTGTATTGTTAAAAGCCCATTGAGCTTTATTATTACTCGCGTCAAGACAGATTACACACATGCCAACCCATGTGAGGAAGCAGTCGGGGAAGGCACGTTGAGGTAAGGGTGTGCAACTATCCCTCCCCCTCCTCCTCCACCCTGTCTCCTTCCCCCTTCACTGTTGATAAGTTACTATATATTATAAAGGCACCATTGGATTAAAGGAAAAGGAGATGACTCTAGTGGAAGGGAAAGGAAAATAGGGAAAAGCATATTACATTTATTTTGTTTGGATTAAATACGAAAGAAAAAGAAAGGAAATATTAAAATCATCTATTGAATTGACTTGCTCTGGTCCTATAAAGATAGACTTGCTTTTCTTTTATGTCTGTTCCAAATTGTAGGCTTCTTTCCTTTTCTAAAGAGTAGTTAGTTTGTTATTTTACTAATAATATGCTCATATTTAATGTACATAATTATTAGCAAATGCACTACTCCATTAGTTAATGATTCTATTTGGAATATTAAATGCAGTATTAATAACTAGATTTACTGTTTTTCTAAGGTATAGTAATATGTATCTCTTACTTTGAATGAATGATCTAACACTAATAAAGGTATTTGAGGAAAGTACAAAGAAAAAATAATTGCTGAAATTATATTAACTAAATTTCTTAATTTGTGTGAAAAAGAAACAAACCTATCTTTATGGTACGGAGGAAATATCTTATATCGTTATTATACTCTAAGTGGGAGTTGCGCATAGTGGTGTGGTGTTTGGTTTCCTTAAATTTCAATCTTATTTCAACTCTTTTTGATTTTCTTAAATTTCAATAACTACTAATGGGGAAAAACCCTAAATTTAACCGACTAACAACAAAAATAACACAGAAACAGGGGAATTTTATGAATTTTCTATTATATTTTTTGTTTTCCTATTATATATATATATATATATATATATATATATATATACATATATATAGCCTATTGTATTCTATTTTTTATCCTACTGGTAGTTATTATAACTAAAGGAAGCTTCAAGAATTACAGTAAGATCTTTGTGACGAAGATATGATAATACAATAGAATGTGGGGCAGGGAATGGAATAAGAAGTTGGACAAAAGATTCATTGCACTTTTAAACCTACGCAGCTATGAGTTAATTTTGAACATGAAGGACGCGGAAAAGCAAGTTTTCTTACGTAGTTTCACAATTTAATTTTGAAAATTTCATTGCGCTTTATCACATATAGTTTTCGTAAACTCGAGTTTTTGAGTTCCTAAAGTGGTGGATATTACGCGTCTATGAATCTTCAAAGGTTTGCTTACTATGGTCTCTTAAAGGTTTTGCTTAATACAAGTACTGTTTTCCTAACCTTCCTGCAGTTTGTGTTTGGGTTCAAGTATGACGCTGGTGGATAAATCAGGTGGCATTTGGCCTAGCAAACTAGAAAAGTGGAGACTAAAAAAGAGGATGTTGCGGCAGATTGAAGTGGCTAATGACCAGCTATCAGACGATATAAATCAAGTTGAGGATGCGATAGACAAAGCACTTGAGCGGAACAAAATTTCAACTGCACTCTTCATTGGCGTACAAGAAGCAAAAGAATTTCAAACACACGCTCGTGATGCCCTGGGGAAAAAGAAAAAGACTGGGAGTCGTCACCTCAACTATACTGAACTGCTTGAGAAACTGCTCGTTTTGTACTCCCAAATTCAACAATTGAAGGAGTTTGATAGGAAAGATGAACAACACTTTTACGCGCAGGGACAGTATGTGAAACGAACTGAATTCAGTTGGCCAACTCGCAAGGATACAAGGAAGTCATCAAAGGATGAAAAGGTGCAGAGGATGAAATCCGGGAAAAAGCTCGAAGACAGTGCTAAAGGATGGCAAGAATTCTCACAGGAGACGTTGATCCAGAGCCAAAAAACTAAAAAATTGGAGGAGATTTACCCGAAAGATGATGTAAACAAAATTGGACAATCGTCAGTTCGAGATTCTTCCATGGAGCTGATACCACGGCCACAAGAATCGAAAGAAAAAGACATTTCCTTGGAATCTAAAGACCAACAGCACGTAGGAGAAAATGTAGTCAAGTCCGATTCAGCTAAAAGTTCAACGTCGCAAGATGAGGTGGAGCATCAGGATGAAACAGAAATGTTTCCCCCTCCTACTGATTTATCTGCTGCACCAAGTGAAGAGAAAGTTGGGCAGAAAAAATTTCAAGTATATGAAGCAAAAGGTGATCATGAAGCAGGCTCGATGAAATTGTCACCTAGCATTCAAGAAGAGCATGGGGCTGCTCAATTTCCTGGATTGTCTAAGCCCGTGTTACAGCTTGAGGATGAAGTCGTGTCTGCTGCTTATCCTTCTACACAGATGGAGCCTAAAGCCACCACTCCGGAGGTAGAAAGGATTTTACAATTGGAGCAGGTGGACGGTGGATCTGGTTCTTCTCAATCAAACGATACTCCAGGAACTGCTTTCAACATACGAGGTGCCATTTCTTCTGGAGCCGAAAGTGGTAATAAGCCCCCAATCCTGAGCACCGATCCGGAAACCACAACGCTAGTCAGCATCTCAGTAGAGGGCGAGTTATCACAGTTCATGGACATCAGCTTGGAAATCCCTCGTGGGACTTCTTTGAGTAAATGGCAGAATCTAAGTAATGGATTCTTGCGCTGGGATTTTCTTTCAGGAAAAGAAAATTATCGCATTCTTGCAAGAGACAAGACCGTGGAGTTGGAATTGGATCGAGGCAAAAGTTCAGATACAGATTATTCATCACCAGAACCCCTTGAAAGTTTTAACCTAGCCAATTCCACCCTACCAAAGCATCTAGTCTTTAGAAATGAAGGTGATAAAATGAAGAAACCTCCAAATGAGGATCAATGGAAACAAGCTGGTGTTATGGACTTGACAGACACATTCCCTTCACTTCCAAAAAAACTCTATTCACTTCCACAAAAACTTTATTCTCCTAACCTGGTACTTCTTTTCCTCCAAAGGAATCCCAGCTTAAGACCAATACCAGAGTCACTTTTTAGTGCCATGCCTTCTCTCAGAGTTGTAGACCTTTCTGACAACAGATTTCGATCTTTGCCATCTTCAATTTTTGGGCTGCACAAGCTTCAAGTTCTTATTTTAAGGGATTGCAGCTTTATCTATATGTTTCCACCAGAAATCAAAGGACTTGAACACATTGAAGTTCTTGATCTATTGGGGACTGAGCTCGAAAAGGCTCCCGACGAATTAGGGCAGCTGACAAATTTAAGGCACCTGCAGATTTCATTTTACGGAACTGATGACGGAAGAGAAAGTGATCACCTGCCAAATGTCTTGCTTTCTTCTGAAACAGTCTCAAAGCTTCAACATTTAGAAGCATTAACCATTGTTGTGCATCCTGAAGATTTACGATGGGTAAAAAATGCAGAAGCTATAATGCAGGACATAGGGAACTTGGAGAATCTGAGTTATCTACACTTCTACTTTACAAAGGTGGAAATCATGGAACGCTTTATAAGGAGTCCAGCATGGAAAATAATCGGCTCTAATAAGTTCAAGTTTGTTGTAGGCCAAGATGTTAAACGCATTGTGGACCGAGTCTCGGGTGATGTAGAACACAAGTTCAACGAGCAGGATAGATGTTTGAGGTTTGTAAATGGAAAAGAAGTACCAGAAGCCGTTGAAAATGTTTTAAGTTATGTCACGGCATTCTATTTGGATCATCATTCTGCTGTTTGCAGCCTCTCAGAATTTGGGATCACCAATAGCAGACAACTGTCATTTTGTGTGGTGAGAGAATGTCCCAACATCGAGTTCATCATATCTGAGATCATTGATGAACCTGCCTATCCCTCTCTCGAGTACCTGGGGTTGCATTATTTGTGGAAACTCGAGAGCATCTGTAAGGACCAACCGCACAAAGGAAGCTTTCGTGCCCTTAAATCATTGACAGTTGCCACATGCCCTAAGCTAGAGTACATTTTCTCTGGGTCACTGGCTCAATGCTTTTGTAATTTAGAGGAGTTAATAGTTGAGGATTGTGAGTCTCTGAAGGAGATAATAGAAAGGAGTGATGAGATGGGTAATGATGATTTCTCTGCCCTTCCGCGTTTGAGAAAAATAAAGCTTTACTATCTGCCTCAACTGTTTAGGCTTCTATATGAAGGGGAAAGAAGTTTGGAGGATCCTCTCCCATCGAGAGACTGCCAACTTGAATCTGTAACATTGCACTCATGTCCTAAGCTGGACCGCAGTTTACTCAAGCAACCATTGGTGAAGGAGCTGATAGAGGAAGATTATAAGCTTGCTACCTAAGCCTTTCTGCAGAATAACAGTAAAAGAGACATAGCTTTCGACTCCTGCGGACATATTGCTTTACTAGCAAGCTAAATCACCATGGATCCAAATCTCACAAGTTGAATTCTGTCCGGTTCATACGGATCATGTAATTCTTAATATACTTGATATAACTTGTATAGTTTTCGTGTAATTGTAAATTTTATACCAACTTTGTTGTACAAGTAACACTTCATGTGATTTGCGCATGATTATTATATATCAATTATTTTTTTTGTCAAAACATATTGTCATGTATCATGATACAATATCTGTATTATTTCTTTTGCTTTATGCAATTATTTTTAGAATACATTATTTTAAAGTCATAGATCTAAGATTTTTCAATCTTTCGTAAATGGTAAGGTTGATTTATAGCTTAAATTGTGACACAAATATTAACACCATTATGCTTGCCAAATTTATTTATATTCATAATGTCGTTACACTTATTAAAACATAAATGTTTAAGTTATTATACACCATACAACATTGTTAAGTAGGAAAAATAGATGCACAAGTCAAAGATGGAGCTGTAAAAAATATTGATAAATAATAGTAAAATAAAGGCTCGAATCGTAAATCAACTTCTGGAAGGGCTTTAGAATAAATGACTTGGTATGTACAATTCATGTTAAAGATTTTGATGAATAATTGAAAAATAAAATGACCAAAATACAAAAGGCTTTGCCATTAGTATTGATTTTCTTAATGATTGGTACAATATTAATATTTATGACATTAATTAATATTTTATTTTACTAAATGAAAAAGATTTGAACAATGTAATTAGAATGGGGTTATAGATTTTTATTTTTAATTTGAACTTGGGTGACCAAAACTGCCTTGCCAAGTAATTTTTTTTTTTTGTTTTGCATAATATAGTATATAACATTGTTATTTTTCTTGCTATGTGAGTTGGAATGGTTAGTCGTTTGGTGAATTTGTTCAACATATGACATGCTTTATTGTTTCTCAACTTTAATACATGTACATTCTTTGAAAATAAAAAAAAATGGTTTACATTCTTTTGAACATTATTAATTAATGAAGGGAATTAATTATCAAAAACAATTGTTTTTGCCTGACTCTTCATTCTCATTAGTGGAAATTTGGTTGACAGAGATGGTTGGGTTTTCCTTTTTTCTTTAAGTTTACATATCCTTTGGTCTTTCAAATTCTTATATGAGGTTTTAGGTAAATATTTTCAACTTTAATCCAAGTTTCTATCAATCCACCAAACAAAAAGTCTAGAGTGAGCTTAATTTGCTTTAATCCAAATTGAGCTTCACCTAGGAATAACTACGAGGGGGAGTTGGAAGGTTGAGAGTTATGGTATTAAGACTGGTGATTAAAAGTAAGATACATGTGGGACTACCCATTAAAAGTGTCATACTTTCTATTTTGAAATGTTCCAAAACAATTGTTTTGTTAGAAAAGTCAAGCATCTTTAAGTCTCTCTTGCAAATATAGCCCTTCTTTCTAATCATATACATGTTACCATTCAAATTTAAATTTTGAATTTATGAGGGTAAAATCAGAAAGAAAGTACAAACATCACAAATCAAATCACTATTCTTAAAATGTTGGATTCTCCAAACATGACTAAATAAATGGAACGGAGGAAGTATATAATTGATAAGTATTTATTTTATGTACTTTTTGTGTAGTCATTTATATGTTTTTTTAGTGTGTTTTTATGTAATTTGGATTTAAATAATTAATTTTATAGTCAAAAGTTGCATTTTGTGGTATAAATGAGAAAGTTGCATTTGTATGGTATTAAATGGTGAAAACGTCATGTTTTTGAAGCTTTTAACGTTTCAATCATCAATTGGAGTTAAGTAAGAAGTATTCAAGTGAAACTTGATGATTTGAAATGTATTTGAAGTTGGCATGGAGTACAAAAAGCAAGAAATGAAGTGCGCGTGAAGAATCAAAGAGCAAAAGGAATGGAGGATGTCACATATTTACATACTTTGGCTATAACTTGAGTAACAGAGATCGAATTGAGATAATTCTTAATTCATTTTGAATATAAGGCAATGCTCTATAATTTAATAACATAAAAGTCCAGTTCTCACATTTTCATAGCCAATTATCTGAATTACTGAAGCATATTTTAGTAACAATACTTGTCTAAGTAGTTCTTAGTATTTTGAACATGTCTCAACATCCAAACCTCCAAATGACCTAATTCCTACACCATTGGAAAAATAACTTAAAGGACTACAACTTTTGTGTTTTGTAGGAAAGTTGATTCAAATCCAATGTTGATTATTAGGGCTAATTTGTGATGATCAGAAGGGTTGTGAAACAGTGGAAGAAACCGATTCTTGACAAGAGCCGGTTGGAGCTGGCAATTCTCGACACACCAGTTTCTAAGGAAATTAAAATTCTTCTCAAAGAAAAATCAGTTCACAAAGCCGGCTCTTGCAAGAACTGATTTTGAGCTAGGGATTCTCTTAGCCGAAAAGCAATATGCAACTTGCACAAGTTGTGCAACTTTACTTTGTTGATGCATACACTTTCTTGCTTTGGATGGAAGATTTGATTAGACGTTTGGTGGCTGAAAGATCATGCTCAAGAAACTTTAACATCTTCTATCCTCTCAAATCATCAAGATTCTATGGAACCACAAAATTTTACTTTAGAAGCCAACTTTTGTTAAGAGTTCACATTAGAGAAAACACAAAGAGACTTGAAGATTTCTCCATAAATAGGGGATTGTGTCCTTCATTTGAGCATAAGTTTGAGAGTTTGGAAAGAAGAGAAACACCAAAAATGAAACTCTTAAGCTACAAGCTCCTAGTAATTAGTTTAGGAATAGATAGGGTAGTATAGTTTAGTTCAACTACTCTTGTACTTGTAGCTAGCTTTGAACGAAAGCTAAGGAGCAAAATGGAGAGTTAGACCTTATGTGACAAATGTAATACAACAAAAAAGGGGTTGGCAAGAAACAAAAGTCCATGCCAAAAGCTTTGACTTCCTCCCCAATTAGTTTTAGTGAGGAACATGCTTCTTTACCAAGTTTCTCGCTAGATGCTCATCACTAAAAGACATTAGTGAGGATGCTGGTGCCTTTCTCGCCAATGGAACAGATCAATAACAAGGATGGACCTTCTCACTAATGGCTCAAATACCATGGCGAGGAAAACTTTCATTTCCACTAAATTCAGAAACTCCCACAAAAACTAGTAGTTCGTTGCGAATAGTCAAGGTATTTGGTGAGGAAAATAGTGCATCCTCACTAATAATATAGAATTGGTAAGGAGTCTTCTAACAAAATTGCAATCCCCTAGACCAATAAAATGTTTTTGGCTAGGTAAGTTTTGTGAGCACTCGCAAATTTTCTTATTTTAAATTCCTATTACGAGCTCATTTAAATATTTATTTGGCCGTTTACTCCGAATATTTTATTTCAATATTTTTAGACCTAATTACATGAAACTATGACTTACTTATATTTTTAAAATGACTCGTTTTAAAATTTGATTTTTGAAAGCTCGTTAAGTGAGAATAGTGAATACGCGTTTGGCGTCAATAATCGATTCGAGAATACAATAAGGTTGGAAAATTGGAGACTTGTACACTAGTCTTGAAATAAGTAATTTTATGTTTAAGTGTTCAAGTATTAGTTAGTAATACTATCGTTATAAGAATTTCTTGAAATTTTCACTTTATCGCGCACAAATCGGAGGTACGCGTTTTTCGCGTACGCGATTAATCGAGGGGCTTAAGACCTTTATTTTTGGACTATTAAGAGTGAATAATAATAATATGAATGAAAGTGTATTAGAGGTTTAGTGCACTAGTGAAATAAACTTGAGAGAAAACGAGCACGAAACACGCGCGCTCGTGCATTATTTTAGTGGATAACCTTGAGCAAGTTTGGGCCACAAGTTATAAGCTTCCTTTAGAAGCCAATAACATTAGATTTCACTCCCTCTCTCTTGCTCTAAGACAGCCGGCCAACCCAAGGAAGAAGACAACCTAAAGCTCTTCCATTTCTTGCTCTATTTCTCACTCAAATCACCTCAAAATTTACACACACCTTGCAAACCACTTGAAGATCAACTCAAGCTAGGAAAGGGGCTTCATTTGCATGGTTTTCTTGAGCTTCAAAGGACAGAAATTTTCTTCTTTAGTCATCTAAGAAGGTAATCAACGATCAACCTCTTGAATCTTAATTTATGGAAGTAGTATTGCACTCATGAGCTCTTGGATTCTCATGGGTAGCTTTGAATTGTTAGAAACTTGGTGAGTGGGCTCTATGAACTCCCACTATGATGGACTGATTTAATGAGTTTTGATGTTATTAGTGTTGGATTAGTGCTTAATTTAGTAGAAATAAATGATATTGTGGATGGAAACTCAAAGAAAGTGAAGAGGGGAATTTTGTTGTTTCTGTCCCTGTCAATTCCGTGACCCTTAAAGCATTTTTTCAAAGTTCAATTAACTTGTTTATGCTGTATATATGTTGTGTGGACAGTGTGGAAGGTTTTCACAAAAAATTACGTGATTTGGTTGGCCAAATGTTGAGATTTCGAAAATTTCCCAAAACTGGAATTGTGTCCAGTATTACTTTGGCAGTGATATTGTTTAGGCTATAAATCTTTGCTTCAATGTCAAAATCGAGTGCCGTTTGTGGCATTAGAAACTAGACATTTCCAGTTTTCCAACGGTGTAAAATGCATGCCATGATTCCACCTGAGTGAACCATACCAATCGTCTGAACCTGCCTGTCCTGTTTCACATTTGTACTGGAAGCCCTGTTATGAGCTGCGACTTGATGCTCAAATATGAGCTAGTTGTGGACAGATTTTTAAAACGATTTCTTCTAAAAAATTGTATCCCTATGAATGTAGTTTTCAATATCACCAATCACGCTCAATTCCAAGTTGAATTGAGTGAGTTATGGCCAAAATCCGAAACTGACTTAGTGATGAAAAACCCTCTTTTGGCTAGTTGGATGCTTAAATTTTGATTGGGACTTGTTGTTTAGAAATTCTTGGTGTTGATCACCTACCAAATGTATCTTGGATGTTTATTAGACATTTTTTGCACAAATGGACCATGTTTGAGACATTTTGTTGGCCAACCGTTTTTTTTTTAAAACGGAAAAACGGAACCCCAAGGCAATTTTGTTTTGAAAGTCGTGGAGCTTTAATGATCTTGTTAACCAACTTTCCATATGTAGTTTTCTATGAAATTTGACAGAGGAATAGCCCTTATATGGTAGTA